AGTGGATAACTATTTTTAAATTTTTGAAAACTTTTTTGAAAACTTTCTTGAAAATTGATTAAATGATCCAAAATATTAGACGTTAAAATATCAAAAAATGATGTTTTAGATAAATGACAATATCTTCCGTAACTAGAAAGATGAGAAGAAGTAGATTCTTGATCTACTATTGCAGAAGGAACTACAAATGCTATATAAGATAAAGTACTAGCTATAAATGCAGGATGATTTTCTGATAGTTCTTTAATGAAATAAATGTTTTCATGAGAATTTTTCCATAGCAAGTTAAATAAAATTCTTCATTTATACTATCTTTGAAAAAAATCTAAGAAAAGCTGTGCTTTGTCAAAGTTGATATCTAAATTTTTGCAGATAGTTTCATAACTTGAAGGAGGAAGAATTCGCCCTAGAGTCCAGTCATTAAAGAGATCCTTGAATTCTTCAAAATCGAAACTACCGTTATTGTCAAGTACGAAATCCTCTAAACTACGATTACAATTATTCCAATAATAATGCATCTTAATGATTTTCGTCTTAGCTATTCTACAAAGTTTAAAAGTCCAGATAATTACACCAATACGTGTAATCGTAATAAAATCATCATTATAAAGAACTTCACAATGTAATATGAATTTTTTTTCATCTGGATAAAAAGATGGAAGAATTTTTAGACACTTTTTTTTACTATCTGGATGCCAATCTTTCTTGCGATAGTTAAATTCAAGTACTGTAATCATAACTGATTTATGGCTTAATTCTAATCCCCATTTTAAATAATTCCCTGGAAATTCATTGTTATCAGTAATATATGCATTACAGTTATTATTTAATCTATTTCTAATAATTTCAATTGTCTTTTCACATGGTGTTGTAATACTGTTTGTGTCCTTCAGTTCTTTTCGTAAATATTTAACCCAATCGTCAGAATTATCATGTACTAAATCTTTAATTGACACTTTTCCATCAATTATATAAATTATTTTATCTGATTTAATTATGAATGGCTCTTGAATTTCGTTTTCTTCAAAAAATTCACTCATACCTATTGAATTTGTTAGATTGTAAGGATCCATTATATTATATTGCTTATCTGGTGGATCGTCTAATACAAAAAGTAATCTTTCTCCTTTTTTAGAAGC